TCTAGTGTGAGGAACTGAAAGTGTAAATAAGGACTAAAAGGTATAATAGATAATGTGAAATAGGAAGAAAAGGGGCAAAGGGAAAGGGAAGTGGGAGGGGTAGGGGAAAGGAAAGAAGGGAATGGAATTAATGAGAAAATGAAAAGCTGGAAACAAAGTCTTTGTAAATAGGGAGGGATGAAGGGGTTGAAGGGAGGGAAGGGGAAGGGGGAAAAAATAAAAACCAAGAGAGTATGTAAAGGTGCAGATTTCCAATGATGAATGTCATATTGTATACCTAAAATGTACCAATAAAAATTTTTTTTTAAATGATGTTCATTTTTATAGCCCTGGGTTTTAGCTTGCTTTTTATGTTTGGACTTATGTATTTCCATGACTTCTGAGAAAACTCAACTATGCATTTAAAGGGATGTTTGCTATATTTTATACAGAATTTCTAGATATTTTTAAATTATTTTTAAGTAGCTAGATATGGTGGTGTACTCCCATAATCCCAATTACTCAGGAGGCTTAGGCAGGAGGATCACATGTTTGATGCCAGCCAGTGTAACTGAGCAGGACCCTGTCTCAAAATTTTAAAAACGATATCTGGGTATCAAGCTGGTGCTCTCAAGGTTCAGTCCCCAGTATCTGAAGGAAAAAAATACCCATGTTTTTAGGCTATTATCCATCAAAGTGCCAAAACAGCAAATAGAAAATGTCCATGAAGATATCAGTACTTAGCTACATGTTTCCCCTTCTGAATTTAATGTTCTAGGGCCAGGGACTTAGCTCAGTGGTTCCGGCACCTGCCTTGCAAGCACAAGGTCCCCATGTTCGATCCCCGGTACCAAAAAAAAAAATCTTTCAGAATTTAATGTTCTAATAATAATCCTCTTCAAGCCTGTGAAAGAGAATGACCCAATACAGTAAGATCAATTCTTGATTAAAGGAGAAAAAAAGAAAACAATAATAACAAGATATAAAGTATGATCATGGTAAAGGTTAGTAGAGAAAACAGTACAGGTATTTGAGATGTGTGTCCTATGACTACTGTTTTAATCAGTGAATTAAAAAAATTTATGGAGATAAAGAAAGCAAACAGAACTAGAATGACATTTAACTCAGAAGTAAGGATCCCTGGTACCTTTTCTGGTACCAAAGAGCCATGATGCCGTTTCTTGAGATAAAGAACTCAGAAGGTAAGAACATCTTAGTCTTCGCAATCAAGTAAGCGAGTGATGAAAGGCAGGAGTGTTTAGTGTCCTACACTGGCTGTGCTGCATCTAGAGTACTACATTTAACTGTGGGTATTAAACTTTTATAGACTATTAACAGATTAGAATGTGACCAGAGAGAAGAGTAGCAAATGATAAATGACTGATGAAAATATCATGTGAAGAGAGCTGAAGAAAATGACACATCGACTAAGGGAAAATGGCAGAAGAGGAATATGGTACGTCTTCAAATAGTTCAAAATAACATCCCTTCATGAAAAGGAATGGACCTCTCTTCCTGTTTAATTAAGCACTCAAATCTTATGTCTTTACCTGTCCTCTCTTCCTTCACTCTATCTCAAAGAAAGCATTTTCCCCCCATTGAAACTAGCCTTCCACTTGTGCTCTTTGTTCTATCATTTTCTGCTGTTCTTGAATTTTGTTCATCAGGTATCTTCAGTATTTCTCTTACAACTTTAGTTTCAGTCTCTTTATTGTTTACTTCCACTTTCCATAAACACT